GTAGATGCGAGGAAATCTCCCAAGCAGACGAGCCAGGTCGGGGCGACCACATGTGACTTGCGGCATTTGCCATCGAGATTGGTTGCGGAACTGCGGGCAGACCTCACTCGACGACAACAGCAGTGAGCAGGATCAGAAGCAAACGTATGACTGACGAGGTGCAGGATCACAACGAGAGTGGAGACCTCCTCCGGGCGAGTGACATTCCCGATGCGGCGAGCAAGTACGAGGCACTTGTGGCGGACGTGGGCGGCGTGGTGAGCGGACAGCGTGACAAAGTGGCGAACATGGCCAATGCGGCTGCGGTTATCTTTGAGACGCTTAATGGTTGGATGAGCCAGTTTGGAGCACCGGGCGAGCAGTACACCAACTGGGCGGGTTTCTACCGCGTCGACCTCGAAGCCCGCAAGTGCATCCTTGGTCCCTTTCAAGGTGGTGCCGCAAGAGCTACCATTCCCTTTGGAAAGGGTGTCGTTGGCTCCGCCGCCGAACAGGTCGCCACACAGCTCGTGCCCAACGTGCACGAGTTCCCAGGTCACATTGCCTGTGATTGTGCCTCCGAGTCAGAGATCGTGGTTCCTGTTCTCGATGCAGAGGGCAAGCTTGTTGCTGTCATTGATATCGACTCGCCGCATCGTGCTCGCTTCACCGACATCGACAAGGTCGGCATAGAGGCCGTCGCCGCTGTCATGGGTCTGGCTTGTGACTGGTGAGGGGATGACATGGCATGGCGCGATGGCGTCATCGGTTCGCCAGACACGCATGCGCCACGCCGTGGCACGTGGTAGATGCGATGGGTGTACATATCTTTTACTGCCGCTCAAAGGCGAGGTGCTGGACGTGGATGATCATAAACGTCATGAGCGCGTTGAGTGGCTTGGACATTTGCAGCTCTGTGAGGGCGTCAATGCCGGGCGAGCGAAGAATGTTGGGCGCCATGACGAGGGCGAGGTTGGAGGCCCCCATCTTGGACAAAGAAGAGTGGACTGGGAGCGAGGCGAAGCGGAGGAAGAGCAGGAGGGCGCGGAGGACTTTGCGGTGCTCGACAGGGAGCTCGGCAAGGATGACACCCGAGACAGCGGCGAGGATGGCGCGGCAGTCTGTGGCGCGGGAGTCTAGATCCTGCGCCGGCCACGAGGCTGGCTCCGAGTCGAGGCCAAACGAGATGACCTGCTGGCCAAGCTGGCCGGCAGCCTCAAAGAAGGCCGGCGGGACGAGCGGGGTGGGGAGCTCGACAAAGAAGAGCTTCATGGCATGGGCGCACGTGTGGGTCACGTCGCCGAGCTCTGAGAGGAGCTTGGTGAGGTCGACCTCGCCGTAACCACGGTCGTACAGGGCACGCAGGATGTCGAGCGAGGCCTTCCGGGCAGACTTACGAAAGACGCCTCGTGGTGAGCGCGTTGGGACTCTCCAATAGGGTCATCATCAAGTCACGGAGGATGCTGGGGACGTGCGAGTGGTCGCGGGCGACCGATGAGGTCAACTCGCGGCCAAAGACACACGTGGCGTTGTGCAGAACCTCGAGCGCGCCGCCGCAGCGATGCTCGATGGCAATGTCGTGTGGGAGCCGACCCTGCGCGTCCGGCAGGATGGATGCGCCGTGGTCGAGAAGTGTGCGGACGGCGGCAGGCGCGTTGTCACGGGCGGCAATGTGAAGTGGTGTCATGCCGTCGGTGGTAGCGGCGTCGATGTATAGGATGGTGTTGCCGATGTTGAGCATGATCTTGAGAATGGCGGCGCGGTTGCAAGCAGCGGCGGTGTGGAGTGCGGTCCAGCCGCTGGGAAGCTGCTGAGTGGTGACCACGCCGCAGGCGAGGAGCATGACGGCTCGGGCCTGTGCGCCCTTTTCGACGGCCGAGAGGAACTTGGCAAAGTACCGGGTCGGGTTCTTGGCCACCTTGCGGCGGGTCTGCTCGCGCTTGCGCATCTCCTTGGCGTTCATCCCCTTCGGCGAGAGGACCGCAAACGCGTCCTGTGCATACGTTCGCCGGCGACGCATCTCTGCCGGCGAAACGTACTCTTCGTCAAGGGCAGCCCTGAGCTCGCCCTGCAGCCAGCTTGCTTCGGGGAGGGCAGTGATGCCTCCGCCGCGCGGTGCCAAGTCTTTGGCCGATGGGGGCGCAGCGGCCGGTACCTCCTCCATCTCATCCTCGAGGCCGGGCACTACAAAGTACGGATTGGCCATCATGGACATGCACACACTCTCCCTCATCGCCTTGTCTCTAGCCTCCGAAGTGGCGTCGTTACCAGCTGCGCTTGAATCTCCGTCATCGTCGTCGTCATCTTCGTCGTCGTCATCATCATCATCATTCTCGCCCTCAGGCAGCACCGGACGCGGCAACGGTGGCTTGGCCGACTTGCTCGGTTTTCGCGGCGGAGTTCGCTTTGCCGGCGCCTCTGCTGCTGGCGAGCTTGACGTCGGCCCGACTGTCCGAGAACGACGAGTGATGCGGCCGACCGGACGTGCGGCGGCTGGGCCGGTTCCGTGGACAAGCAACGTGTCGCCGCTCTTCTTGCTCAGCGATGACGAGCGGACAATGGGCCCACCGATGGAAGCATCAGGGGCAGCTGCGGCACCAGTAGGCGCGGCGGGAAGTCTGGCCGGCTTTGGTGGCTTTGCAGCTCGTGATGGTTTCGGCGGCGGCGCCATCCGCGCCGGCGCTCCAGACTTGCTCGGCGTACCGCCAGCAGACTCGCTGTCACCAAGGGAACCAGCGACTGCCGCGCCATCACCATCGTCCGCAGCATCAACTGGCGCAGGCAGCGACATGTCGTCACGATGAGCATCGGGATCACGGACAGCGACAGGATCATGATGGGCGGTGGCAGTGGCAGTGGCAGTGGCAGTGGCAGTGGCAGTGGTGGTGGTGGCATTGGGCACAGTAGCATCGAGATATGCCTGTGACTGGTGGAGCGAGCGGCTCATTCTGTGCTCTGCCAGGAGCATCTCCTGGTCTCGGCTCCGCTGCTGAAGGACGGCAATGGCCAGAATGGGTCGGTCTCGCCGAGACGGCCGCCTTGCCGTGGGCATACCCGTGCTCATTGTCCGCTCCCCTGTCTATGTGTATATGTATATATGGGTGGGTGGTGCGTGGTGAGTGAGGTTGGCGGTGGGTGGAGTGGGTGCCTGTGTGTGGGTGTGTGGGAGGGAGGGGGGGGGGCAGCGCTTGAGATGATGGTGGCAAACAGTCGTTGCTTTCGAGACATGTGCCCCGGGCATGCGAGTGGGCAGATTGGGTTGGTGATGAGGGAGCGATCTGCAAAACGGGAAGGGAGGCAGTTGCTTGGCGTGGTTCAATGGAAAGGCTGTGGAAAAAGTCGGCTGCGTGAGATGCCGAGGAGAACCAAGGCCCGTAAACATGTGGATACACATAGCCTCCCCAGTGAGACATAGAGATATGTGCCTGTGTCATACTTCCGCCCTGTCTCCATCCACATCTGCTAAACTCGTCTGTGCTGTGCAATGCCTCCTCGATGTCATGTTGTGCCTGCGCGTGTGCCGAAAAAGGTCACGTTGACGGCGACGGGCTGACACTCTCCACCACCACTCTGCTGCTGCTCTCTGAGCCCGCCTGCTGTTAAGCGCCGCCACCGTCGCCATCGAGCATGCTCGCAGGGTACGATGTCTGTGCTCGTCGCCTGCAGCTCCAGGGCACGCATGGTGTTGTGCAGATTTTGCGGGCCACGGTCTCGATCTACGCCACCTCCTCCACCACCATCAAGCCACCATTGCCTACTACTAAATAATCACCACCAAACCCATGCCATCGCGCTCTTCAGACACCACCACACCCACCACAACCCCTGTCAGGAGCGGGAAGACAGAGTCCGTGAGTCGAAATAATGGAGCAAAAAGGCGCAAACGAGACTAAAAGGCGGCGCCAAACGATTGACAAAAGCAGCAACGGCGCCAAACAGCAGTGGACCACGGCAGTGGGGAGGGCGGAGGGGCAAGGAGTGGACACACTCCACGTCCCCCCACTTTCCACCACCCCCTTACCAACCCACACATCCACCACCCCCTGCGTCCGTCCCTCCCTCCTTCCGTCCGTCCATCTGCTCTGTCCGGGAGGCATGTCTCGGGCGTACGCAACAGCCGGACTGGCCAAGGAGCTCAAGACACTGAGCAAGCGTCAACTGCGTGGGCTGCTGGTCAGTCTCTGTCAAGATGATTCTATGGTGAGGGCCAGGGTTGCGGGCTATCTTCGTACAGGACTGGATGAACAAGGGCTGCCAAGGTCGCTCCTCCCCTCATCGCCAAACTCAACTCCGCCTCATCGCGGTCTCTCGTCATCGCCATCGCCATCGCCATCTGGACGCCGCTCGCGTGCTCACTCGCGCAAGACATCATCAAGGGCTTCTCCATCTGGTCGTTCTCCGGCACACTCGCGTGGTGCTTCAAGAGCAAGTACATCGTCACCACATGTCCGCCCGCTTGGTGGTGACTCGGGATCGCCGTCGAGGATGTTCACCTCGCCGCCGCCGGCCTGTGTCCGGTTGATGGTCCATGCCAATGGCCGCCCGGGCCCGGCGGTGCCACTGGCGGCGCCTACCCTGGGCAACTTGCTTGATGACGCAACCCGGAAGCTCGGTCTACCGTCGGCTGCGCGCAAGCTGTACGACGCCCAGGGCCGTGAAATCACCAAGCTCGACGAGGTGCGAACCGGCGCAGACGTGTACGCGTCGTGCGGCGAGATGTTTGTCGATCCCAAGGCGCCGCCCGAGTCGCCCATGCAGCGGATGTCGCGGCTCAAGCTCCCGCCCATCTCGCAGACCCTCGTCTCGCCCAAGGTCACGCCTCACTTTGAGGCCTACCGCAACGGCGCGCCCCACATGGGCTGCGTCCGGATCTCGGGCGCAACCATCCCTGCGCTCCTCGACGATGCCACATCCAAGCTGCATTTGCTCTCAGCGGCGCGGTACATCTACGACGGCGATGGATTCGTGGTCACTGACGAGCACGGATCCGGCGTCGACCTCTACGCGTCGGCCAAGTCCAAGACGGTGCTCGACGTCGGCTTTGGCGCCAAGGTCTACATCTCGTGTGGCGAGCCGTTCCGCGACCCACGGGCCAAAGTCGCCGACCACAAGGTCCACATCAGGGAGCTGCCTGCTGACTCGCGGCTCCTGCCCAAGCAGGTCAAGTACGCCATGGTCTCGCGGCTCGGTCTGGCGCTCGGCCTCGACAACCGACCGGTCCGGGTCATCGCCGACTCGATCAAGGCGCTCAAGCTCGAGGCCCGCACAAAGTTTGAGCTCGCCCACCCTGTTCGGCGCATCTTTACCGAAGACGGTACAATTGTCGTCGATGCCTTGCCGAAGACCAGGTCGTCCGACGACCACTCCTCCGCGCCTGAGCGTGACCATGGGCACGAGGCGGTTGAGAGTGAGGAGGCCACCCCGGTCGACGCCTCCTCGACGTTTGTGACTCAGACCGAGGACGCTGTCGCGTCCAACGACGACGATGCCGCGAGCATCAAGTCGGCGAACTCCTCCTCGTCGTCGTCGTCGTCAGCAGCAGCAGCAGCAGGAGGAGCAGCGGATATGCCCACCGTTCCCGCCGACGCCGACACTGCTGACGGTGCCGTAGCTTCTGGCGGAGAAGAAGACAGGCCCGAGTACGTGCTGTTCTCTGAGCTGCCAAATGGGGTGCATCTCTTGGTCTCGATGCGCGAGCAGTTTGAAGAGCAGCGGTCGATGGAGGACATCCGCGAGTTGTCCGCCGACTCCCGACTTGTACCGGAGCCGGTCAAGCGTGTCTTTGTTCTGCCAAACGGCGAGAACGTCATGCGGCGTGGGATCTACGTCACTGGACGCAAGGTATACGAGCTACTGGCATCGTGCCAGGCGAGGTTTCACATGCAAGGGCGGGCGCGCAAGCTCTACACGTCGACGGGAGACATTGTGGTTGACTCGCTCGAGTACGGGGTCGAGGAGCCACCGCAGGCCAAGCTCATCGAGCTCGCGCCCGTTGTCCGGCACGTCGGCTCGGACATTCGGGTGGTGCCGGAGCCCGAAGCGCGAGCGCCGCTGACGACAACCGATGCGCACCGGCGCGGGCGCCGGGCCAACGCGGTGCACGCGGCGCGGGTGGCCAAGCAGGCCTCGCCCGAGGCCAAGGGCGAGAAGAAGGCGCGCCTCGCGCACGATCGCCCTCCCAAGCCCAACCCGTACCCGGTGGAAAATTGTGTGGAGCTCGACTCGCTAGCCAACGAGACTGTCCTCTGGGTCTCGCATGGGCCCAAGTTCTCGGCGACGACGCTTGGCGCGGCCAAAGACGCGCGCGAAGATATCCCGCCCATCCCGCCGCACTCGCGACTGCTGACCAAGAAGGCTGCGCGAGTCAACGTCTACAAGAACGGCTGGTATGACTCGGGCAAGATGATCGTGGCATCGAACCTGGACGAATTGTTTGCGCGGGCGACCGAGGCGCACGCGTTGCATGCCCGCGCGCGCGCTCTCTACACCCTCGAAGGCGTGCAGATCCGAGACATGGCCGCACTCGAGCCGGACATGGAAGTGGTGGTGACGACAGGTGAGCCGATGAAGGCCCGCAAGTAAAATCAGACATAGGAGAGCGTGGCGTGTGTGTGTGGCTCCTTTACACGGCCAAAGACTATGGGCGCGCTACGAGCCCCAGCACGTGTTGCACACTGGCTTACCCGAGGCGTTGACGGCAAAGCGTGTGCCGAGCTCGGAGGAGCAGAGCGAGCAAATGAAGCACGCCGGGTGCCAGAGGGCGTCGAGTGCGTCGACAACATCACCGGCAGCAGCGTTTCCGCAACCTGCACAGAGCGGCGCAGCAGAGGCAGACGACGCATCGGCCGGCGCCGCATCTGCGCCAAAGCACGTCGCGCACACGATGTTGCCCGAGTCCGAGGTACCAAAGGCGCCGTCGATGGCCTTGCGACAGACGGCACACTTGAGGCAGATCGAGTGGAAAGAGTGGCTGCCTGCGGTGACATACTCGTTGCCCAGCTCGTTCTTACAGCCATGGCACAATCTCGCCGACGTCATCGACCCAGCCGCCGACTTTGACGCCTTTGACGCCTTCAGCCGGGCGGCGATGGCCGCCGCCGCAGCCTTTTTCTCCTCGGGACTCTTTGCAGCTTCGGCCCGATACGTTGCCGCTGCCGATTTCGGCTTTGATGCCGCCGGTGCGCGGTTTGCCACCGCACTCGCCTTGGCTTCTGCTTCTGCCTCGGCTGCCGCTGCCTCTGCTGCTTCCAGAAACGGTTGATCCTCTCCCTTGCGAGCAGCACGAGCGCACGTCGTGGTGCAGTACTTGTGGCCCGAGTACGCGTAAAACTCCTTCGGATTGGCACTCCCGCACACGGGACAAAGCCCAAACTCGCCTGCCGTCTCTGTGCTTGACATGCTTGGTGACAAGTCTGCCGTCCTTTGCATATGTTGCGCGCTAGGCGAGGCGTGGCAGGTGAGGGAACTGCCGTTGTCGCCTCGTGCCGAAGTGCCTGTCGCCTGGTTCGTGGGAAGGGGGGGTGGGGTGAGGGCGACAAAAAAATTTGAAGGCAGTTGGGTGGCGGGTGGGGGGATGACATTCTTTTTTTGGCGAAATGGACGGAAGGCCTTGGAGCAGAGAGTCAGGTCGACGTGGCGCAAATGCCAAGTTTAAGGAGAGGAAGAGAAGCGGGAGCGGGAGCCAAGAGCACCACCTCTCGCTTTGTGTCGGAGCTTATGCTGGGTCGCCGTCTTCAGTCTGCCTCGGCGGTGGTGCTTGCTCGGGGATGCCTGCGGGGACTGGGTGGGCTAGGTCGGACAAGGTCATTGTCATCGTCATCGTCGTCATCGTCGGCATCATCGTCATCATTGTCATCGCCGTCATCGTTGTCGCAAACTCGCAAACAGGTCACCCCGCAATCTGGGTCGGCTCATGCTTCTCGCTCGCCGGTCCGCCGCTGCAGTGGATGCACGCGCTGGCGTCGTCGACCTCGGTGTTCACGGCGCTGGGCTTGCATCGGGTGACGGGTGGACTGATCTCGAGGGCAACGACGGCGACAGCGGCGGCAGCAGAGTCCGCGCTGGATCAGGCCGGAATGAGTGAGGCTGGAGTGGTGCCGCGGCTGAAGGAAGGTGGACTGGTGGTCTATCTTCCGCATGAGGTTACAGGCGAGGCGGTGGAGGCAGCGGCGGAGGTGTTGCGTGGCGAGGGATCGGGTCTGCCAATACGGGCGCGCGGGGATGTCCATGCAATCCGCGGCAAGCCGATGCTGGAGGACATTGCGGATGTGTGGCCGTCGTCGCATCTCTCGCTGGTCCTGCCGTCAAAGGAGATGCTGGCGTCTGAGGTGTACAAGCTGCTGCGGCCGTATGGGGTTCTGCGGTCGCTGACGGTCAGCAAGGACACGGCGTCGGCGTCGTACGTCACGTTCACGTCTGCGGCTGCAGCGCGAGTGTGCCTCCACGAGGCGCTTGACCGTAAGCTTTTGTTGGAGTATGTGCGCAAGCCGTGGTTTGCCGGCTTGCAGGCCATCGCGTCGACGCCCAAACTCCTGCCGCTGGTGACGATTCTAGCGTCGATCACGGTCTCGGCCACAGCAGTTCTGCTCATCGAGCCGCTGCGCGTGTTCAATGTGGCGCAAGCAGTGTCGTCAGCTACGATTGCAGGCTCGGACGACGACGCGTCGTTTGAGCGCGAGGCCCAGCTTCTGTCGCGGGCTGTGGCGTGCGGCACGCTGGCGGCGCTGACCGACGCGCTGGAGACGCATCGAGTCCTTGTTATTGTAGGCGAGCCGGGCATGTGCAAGACCCGGCAGGTGGCGGCGGCAGTAGGCGTCGAGCGCAAGCGGGTGCTGCGTATTGCGTGTCGGGCTCGGTCGTCGGGGGCGGCGACGGCCAACGCGTTCTTGGACGAGTTGGAGGAGGTGGTCGGCTACCGGCCGTCGTTTTCGACCCTCTCGGCGGTCTTTCGCTACGTCGAGGCGTTCTTGCCCAAGGGCTCTGAACTCCAGGCGTCGTCGATTGAGTCGCGGCTGGAGGCCACGCTCTCGACGCTGGCGATCGCGCTCTCTGTGCTTGACCTGCAGACCGACCTACTTGCCGTTGGCGGGAGATCTGGGCGTGGGCAAGCGGTGGTGGTCATTGACGGGCTCGGCGACGTGCTGGCGGAGCTCGATGCAGGCGCGGTCGAGGCTGTGCTCGAGACCTTTGTGCGGTGGCTCGTCCGAGTGGGAACGTCAGCGCGGGTGGTGTTTGTCGACGATTCCGACCATGCGCAGTCGCTGCTGGACACACTGCTGCGGTCGCGGTCGCTCGACGCGTCGGCGCTGTTCCTCAACGATCTGAGCGAGGGCGAGGCGGTCCAGTACCTAGCGCGGTACCGAATTGCTCTCAGCGAGCGCCAGAGCCGAGGCGGCAGCGGCGACGGCGGCACCGATGAGGATGCGGAGCGCGAGAGCATGCGGTCTGCGCTCGGCAAGGCATCGCACTCGCTGGTGGGCCAGCTTTCGCTGCTGTGGCAGTTGGTGGGACTCGAATTGGAGAGCCACAAGCGGCATGAGGCGCTGGCGGACACGCAGTATGACAGCGCCGAGGAGGTGCTCGAGACGGTGCCGCCGGTGGTGCACTCGGAGCTGCTTCGTGTGGTGGACGCTGTGGGCGGGCGGATTGCAGACTTGTCCGAGGTGGCGCGGCGGGCGTTTGCGACGGCTGGTGGCGCTGGATCGCCGCTGGAGGCACTGGCCAAGATGCAGCTCGAGGCCGAGCGTGTGGTGCGGCGGCTGGCCGAGTCTGCGGCGACGCCCGGCAAGTCGCTCGAAGTCTACGACACTATCGTGATGGTGGCGCGGGCCGGCGTGGGCGGCGAGTCGTATGCCGCCATTGCGGCGGATGCTTTTGACGGCAAGTCAGGCGCGCTTGACGAGCTGCTCAAGGATTCGGACGTATTTGTCCTGCAGTACGACCCGACGACGCAGTCGCGGCGGGTAGCCGCGGTCTCGCCGCTGGTGCGCCACGCATGCGAGCAGGTGGCCGGTGACGCGCGAGTCGCCGACGTCATGCGCACGCGGCGGGCCAAGATCCGGCTCGAGACCATCGAGGAAGACATCGTCAAGCTCATGGGTAAGCTCGAAGCTGTCTACGCCTCTCATCTTCCGTCGTCAGTCATCGGCCCGCGCAAGAAGGAGCTCCTCGCCAAGTGGAACAAGCTCGAGGCCGAGAAGGCGCGGATCCTCTCGTCGGGGTAAGCCGTCGTCCTGTCCACCACATGCTCTGGCCAATAAGATGCTGGACTGCAGCTATGAAGCGTACACGAAAGCCGATCCATCGCCAGCCGCCTGGCCTGTTTAAACCCATAACAGGAGCAGCGAGTGGCCGATTATCAGTCGGCCACCACTCGCTCGGTCGGCCCCCAATCGGCCGATCAAGCCGCCAATGGTCGGTCAAGCCCCCAATCGGTCGGTCAAGCCCCCAATCGGCCGGTCAAGCCGCCCGTTTGTTGGCCAAGCCGCCAATCGGTCGGTCAAGCCCCCAATCGGTCGGTCAAGCCCCCAATCGGCCGGTCAAGCTGCCCAGCGGTCGGTCAAGCTGCCCAGCGGTCGGTCAAGCTGACCATCGGTCGGTCGGCCCCCATTTTGGCGCCCAGCAGAGTGGGCGACACACCCGTCGCACGGACCTGGGCAAGGGAGTCAGGGCAAGGAGCGTGATAGAGAGAAAGAGGGGAAACAGGCGAGTATGGACGGAGCATTGCGAGAGGTTGTGTCTGCGTCGCTTGCCTCCCATCTGTATGACAATGCCGTGTTTTACGCCCAGAGACTGGTGGCCCAGGCTCCCAGCGAGGACTCGCGCTTCCTCCTGGGCACAGCCTTCTACTCTGCCGGCCAACTACGGGCGGCTGCCACAGTGCTCAGCACGCTCAACTCGCACAGAGCTCGCTATCTCTATGCTCTAGCAAGTCTCAAAATTGGGGACCTCCACCAGGCTGAGAAGGCTCTCCTGCTCAACCTCCGTCTCCCGCCCAACGCCCTCGCCGGCACCCAGCCCTCTGTCGCACACGCCGCCACCGCCACCGCTTCCGCTCACTCTCGGGCTGATCCCACTCCAACAACACCATCCGGTGTGCAGGCGCATCCCGACCTCGAGGGCGAGGGCGAGGGCGAGGACGAGAACGAGGAGACTGCCCATGGTGAAGCTGAGGATCACTCATCGGCCAGGCCATGCCTGATGCTGGCTCGCTGTTCTTGCTCGGCGAGGTGTGTCGCCTCTCGGCTCGGCTAGGCTTTGCTGCGGCCTACTACCGCAAGGCGCTTGAGGCCAATCCCTTCCTCTTTACCGCCTACGAGCGGCTGGTGGAGCTCGGCGCCGACGTCGATCCCACCGAGTTCTACGGCATGCCCTCGGTTCCCATTCCTGCCCCGCAGCCCGAGCCGGCGTACTCGGGCTTGGCGTCGGTGGCGGCTGCCTTTGCGCGCCCGCCACCAGCCGCTGTGGGCGCCCGCGATGCCGACGCGGCTCTGGCCGGAATGGACAAGGTCCGACCGCGCGTTGGCTCGCCGTCGCTAGACTTGGCGTCAAACCTCCGGTTCACGCCCATGGACCGCGGCGTGACCTCGTCGGCGCTGTTTTCCGGCCCCGAGTACGGCCTGCACACGCCGTCGGTCTCGTCGTCGATGCGGGTGATGCCGACTCCCGCGTCGGGTGCGCTCAACACGCCGATGGCGGGCTCGCTCGCGCTTCCGGCGTCGGTGGCCCGCGCCACCGGTGCGTTTGTGACGCCCTCGCCTGGTGGGGCGGCCATCACGCCGTCGGGAGGCGGCGTGCCACCGCCGCGCCTCGCGCCGCGCCGCAAGCGCCCGCCGAGCTACACCCCGGCGTCGGCGAATCTGTCGCCGATGCACAAGCCGCCGCGGGCACCGCGGTACCGGCGGCGCGCGCGGTTTGCCGGCCTCGACGACGACGAAGACGACGACGATGCGCCGTTGCTTGTTGGGATGCGGACGCGGTCGAGCACCCGCGCCGGCGTCGCTGCCACCACCGACTCGGACGAGGACGAGCAGCGGGCGGTGGCTGAGGTGGCAGTCCCGCTGCGGATGGCGGCTCGGAATGGAGAGCGGGCTGGCACTCGCGGTGGTGCCCATACCCGCACAGGCGCGGTGCTTGAGTCAGCACCGATGGCGGCAGTCTCGCCCGCGTCCGAGCCGACCGCACTGCCAGCAGTGCCTGTTGCGACGCGCAAGGGCAACAACGAGCTGCGGTCGCTGCTGGTGGTGATCGGTGAGGGCCTGCGCCAGCTGCGGTCGTTCCGGGCCCGCGAGGCCATTTCGGTGCTCAAGGCGCTGCCACGGGCACATTACGAGACCGGGTACGTTCTGGGCCTCGTCGGCCGTGCGCTGTTTGAGCTCGTGCTCTACCCTGAGGCGGCACGGGTGTTTGAGGAAGCGCGAAAGCGCGAGCCGTACCTGATGGAGGGGATGGAGTACTACTCGACAGCACTGTGGCACCTCCAGCGGCCTGTCGAGCTCTCTTACCTGGCGCAGTCGCTGCTTGCAGTCTCGCGCGAGGCGCCGCAGGCCTGGTGCGCGCTTGGCAACTGCTTCTCACTGCAGAAGGAGCACACAACAGCGCTCAAGTTCTTCAAGCGCGCGCTCCAGCTCGACGCCAACTTTGCGTACGGGTACACCCTCGCCGGACACGAGCTGGTGGCCAACGAGGACTTTGGCAAGGCCATGGCATGCTTCCGCAACGCGATCCGAGTTGATCCGCGGCACTACAACGCGTGGTACGGCATCGGACTCATTCTGCTGCGGCAGGAAAAGCACGCCATGGCTGCCTTCCACTTTCGCAAGGCCATCACCATCAACGCCCGCTCCTCGGTCCTCTACTGCTACCTCGGCATGGTCCATCAGGCTTCGGGTGCGCTCGGTGACGCGCTGGCCATGCTCGACCTCGCTGTCCAGATCGACACCAAGAATCCGCTGGCCCGGTTCAAGCGAGCTGGCGTCCTCATGGCCATGGCCGACTACGAGGCCGCGCTGGAAGAGCTGGCCAAGCTCCGCGAGTATGCGCCCAAGGAGGCAACGATCTACTTTATGACCGGCAAGGCTCACGCCCTACTCGGCAACTACGACGCGGCGCTCGGCAACTACCACATCGCCCTCGACCTCGATCCCAAGTCGGCATCGATGACTAAGAAGGCCATCGAGAACCTCAAGGCCGGTATGCCGCCGCCGGTGTGACCTAAATACGTGGATGTGAATATCATGTCGATGCTACGCGAGCTATTGGCTGTACCTGAGAGACAGCTGTCTGTCGTGACGGAGATCACCAAAACTGGCTCCCACACCCAAATTGGTGGAGGTTGGCCAGCCACAGCCACCCTCCGCGGAAGACTACACTCATCCATCGACTACCACCATCACCGTACCAGCATCTACCTCATACCTAGCCCTGCATATTACTGATCGAAGCCATCTGCCACACTTGGCCATCCCGACGGGCTTTCCCCACCTGAGGCCATCGACCTGACCAAAACTGGGGCAAATTGCGGCACATGCGGCAGGAACGAACGACTGACAGAGCGCTGGCACTGCCACCCCGTGTGGCGACAACAGCTGACACACCTGACACACGTAGCAGGAGTGTGTAAAGAGAGTGCGAGTGCGGGTGTGTGGATTTGCTGGAGGAAGCAGGCTGCAGATATGGGTCGGTGGTCTTCAGCTGACGACACGAGTGGCTCTGCCAGTGGCAACAGGTTGAGACCAAAGTCGGGACGGCATCGGAAGCGGGGGCGGTCGGCATCGACTTCATCAGCATCAAGAGCAGCAAGGTCATCCTCATCTTCATCATCATTCTCATCATCATCATTATCATCATCTCCACCATCATCGGGATCTCCATCATCATTGCTGTCGTCTTCATCATTGCTGTCGTCTTCGGCATCGCGGTGGTCGTCGTCGTCGTCGAGCTGCGGCGGCTCGTCGTCGATCTCGAGATGCCCAATGTGGCGTTCCATCTGGATAAGGCTGCAGCAAGGCCAAACAAGGCGACAATAAGGCGGATTGCGACAATAAGGCGGATTGTGAACAAGTGGTCGGACGCAAAGCTTGAGGCCAACCACAGCTACATCCAGTGGCTCTGGTTAATCCGTATGCGCATCGGCTGCGCAAGGCCGAGGCCGAGTTCATCGCAGGCTCGGCATCGGCTTCAGCCTGGGTTGTCAAAGCCTACAAGCGCATGCTGGCGTTTTACGGGTGGCGGCTCGTCGACGAGGAAACAGGTGAGGTTGCCCGGCTCAAGTCGCGATCGGCGCATCGCGAGCGCATGATCAACCTTACCACCCACACACACAACTACCGCCGCATCACACGCATCCTCGCTTCTCTTGGCCACTGCGGCTTTGCACGCTACAAAGAGCAGCTGGTCACCTTTCTCGGCGCCCAGATCAAGGCCGCCAAGGCTCTGCCTCGCCCACCGAAGCGGCCAAAGCGTCCGTCCCGCAAGTCGTCGCGCAAGGCGGTCAAGGCGTACCGCGCCGAGCTGCGAGCGCACACCAAGGCGCGCCGCAAGTATCGCAAGTCGGTGGCTGGCAGCTACGCGCTGCTCAAGTCGTCATACAAGCGGTTCTGGGCCCCGACGGTGGCGTACGGCAACAAGCGGGCATACAAACGGGCCACCGCAGCGTCGCCATCGGAGCGGCGGCGGCTCTCGGTCTTCTTCCGCTCGTGAGCGCGTGGCAGAGCGCTCAACTGTCGTCGAGCGCGGGGTTTTGCCGCGAGAGCGCGGCCCAGGCCGAGAAGACCTCGAGCCGTGGCGCAACGACGTAGACTTCGCCGACCGAAGTGTGAAGGACGAGCGAGAGCGCGGCCCAGGCCGAGAAGACCTCGAGCCGTGGCGCAACGACGTAGACTTCGCCGACCGAAGTGTGAAGGACGAGCGAGAGCTTGCGCCAGTCGATCGGAAGCGCCGAGAGCTTGGTCCGGGTCACCTCCTTGGCCTTTTCCCATGAGAACCGCGGCGCAAGGCCGAACGAGATCCGGTGCAGGGTGGCGGCCGAGTGATCGGGCGCGTCCTCCTTGTACCACGCAATCTCGATGGTGTGGTGCTCGGTGGGCGAGAGAACAAAGACCCGCGAATGCAGCTTGCCCTTGCCATCCTTGGTGTGCTTGTAGAGCACAGTGCCCTCGAGCAGCTCGTGCGGGAAGGGAACCGGGACGCGCAGCTGCTGCAGCGCGGCTGGCGAGCTGATAGCCCGCCGCGGGCCTGGCGGCGGCGATGCCCGCTGCGCAATGGCTGCTACCCGCGCCTGCGACGAGCGCTGTGCCGCCAGCTCAGCTTCGGCCTGGGCGCCCGGCTCCAAGTCATCGCCAGCGGTGCCGTACGATAGCGCCCCGGCTTCCTCGGCCTCGTCCAGCACTTGCGACAGCCGCATCCGCTTGCGGGCGGCCTCTTGCGCCTTGACAGCCCGTGCAACCTTCTCGGCCTTGGCCGCACGCACACGCTCGGCCTCGGCCTCGGCCTCGGCCGCAGCTTCCTTCTCAGCGCGAAGTTTTGCCCGAGCCCTAGCCGCCCGCATCTCTGCCGCGTTGGGTGCCACATGCTGCTGCCCGCCGTGAGGACCACCACTCCGGCTGCCGTAGCCTCCAGCCGAGCCCGCAGCACCAACACCAGGGTAGCCATCTGAAGGCCGACGGCGACCATACAGCTCATGGGCAAGCCCATCCTGTGGGCCATCTCCATCTCCAGACTCACTCTCGCGCCAGCCGTCATCACCAGAGAGCTCATGCCCATCTTGTCCATCCCAGCCATCATCACCACTGTGCCGGCCTTGATCTCTCCCCATTCCAGCGCCAGTCTCCCTCCGCCTATCCACCGCCACTCCCATATTAGCCGCCGCTTCCTGCTGTGCCTCCAGAGCCGCTTGCTGAGCCTCCAGCGTCTCGGCAGCAGATTGCTTCCAGAAGAACCGCTTATGAGCAGCCACCTCGGCCGCGCGCCGCTCTTCCAGACGAACGTCCTGGGCCTCCGCCTGTGCCATAGCATGAGGCACTCGCTGCAGCATCTCCTTGCTCTCTACTTGTCGTCGAGTGGTGGTGGTGGTCGTCGTCGTCGTCGTGACTGGTCGTGGTCTCTCCTCCTGTTGCTGCTGCCGCTGCCTGGCGCGCTCACTCGCTTGGCTCGCCGACCGCTTGCTGCGGAGAGACAACCAGGCCAGACGCACAGACGCTTGGATGGGTCCTAGAGATACAGTTTATAGGATGGGGAGGGGGGGGGAGGGAGGAGGGGGTCATGCACTGGTGGTGGCCCGCGAAGAGGCGGGCGGCGAGGGAATGACTTCCATGTCGGCCATGATCGAGAGCGCAATCTCGTTGGTTGAGGCGAGTGAGGCCACTGAGGCTGCCAGGTCGTCGACAAAGGCCTGGGACGACTCGATGGCCTGCTCCAATTTGGCCATGGTCTCCTTGGCATGAGCGAGGTCGACCTCCAGCTCGTCTGCGGCTCGCGACTCCTCGCTGATGACGCGATCCAGTTCAGCGAGCTCGCGGAGTTTGGCCTGGATGCGGCGGAGCCTGGCCATCTCGTGCGGAGCTAGCGAGGTCTCTTGCTCCTGCCACTCGACGGAAGCAACCTCGCTCTTGTGCGGCATTTCAGCGTAGTCGTCCAGCTCTGCAAGCTTGTCCTCCAGCTTCATCTCCTTCAGAATCACCCGCAACTCGGCCTGGCAGTTGGCGGCAACGAGCGGATGGACCGAGTCATGCAAGTGGGAGAGAAAGCGAACTGTCGATGAACTACTCTTGAGCGCTCTCGGGAACTTGGCCACAAACTCCTCCGCCGTCAGCTTGCTAAACGCCTGCGCCAGAGCAAAAGTCAGCGCATCCTGAAGCTGTTCTGCCCGACCTTTGCCCGACATCTTTGCCAATGACTGAGATTGATGTCGATGATGTTGAACTCAGCGATGTCGATATGGTTTGTCGATGCGGTTGGCTCTCAACGAAATCGATGCGGTTGGTCGAGATTGATGCGATTGGTCGAGATCGATACGGCTAGTTTTCAACAGGATGGATGCCTTTGCGACCAGCTCTGCCACCACCTGTTCTCCGACTGTGTCCACTTTCGACTTGTCGCTCTTTCCAGCCTCTACCTAGTCTCTACTGTCTCCGTCTCCTGCTTGTTGCCCGTTTGGCGCCAACCGGTGTGATCAGCTACGGATAGGCGAGGTGGAGGTGGAGGTGGGGGGGGGGGAGGGAAGAAGATGTGTCTATGTATATGTGTGGTGTGTGTATGTGTGTGTGTGTGTGGTGTATATATGTGGGAGGGTGGGGGGAGGGGGGGAGTGAGTGTGGGTGGTGAGGTGTGATACTGGGTGGTGGTAGCAGGGGTGTTCGGTGGTGGCTCTTGTTGCCTGTGTCGTCATTGTCCTCGCCACCCGTCATTGTCTTCCCATTGGCGCCCTTTTTGCCTGCTCTCGCACACTATCAATCGATACCAATATCATTGCTACACACCTTCTCTGCCTCATCATCCTTGCCTCCCCATGCAACACAGACACGCATCCTTTCTCATACTCGCATCTACCATGTATACCCATCATCAACGCATTCGTCCCGCACGATCACTTGCTCTATGTTGTTTGCGCCAAACTCCCGCACGACGACCACACACGACATCCGCTCGCGGTTCAGTGCCGCCATCAGCAATCGCCCAGAGGGTGGGCATGCCATTGTGATCATGGGGAGGTGGGGGGGGGGGGAGGGGGAGGAGCGGGGCTACTCCATCGAGACGTAGTACTCGGTCTCGAGCGAAGCAAGGAGCTCATCGACACGCGAAGCCAGCTCATCCAACGAGTCCGAGGCATCTTGGGTAGCGTTAGCAGCTGACGAACGAGCAGCATCAACAGCAGCATTCATGGCGGCGGACTGGGCAAGGCAGCGATCTCTCTTGAGGGCAGCGATGAGAAGCAGGAGCTCCCGGCCTGCACGGACGAGAGCCTCCGTGTGTGTCTTGACGCGAAGCGCAGCCGAGATGTGAAAGGTTTCTGCATCATGTGCCCGAGCAGTCGAGTCACCAGGCAGTGCAGCAGCCTCCAGTAGCGACTGATAGTTGCTCGCCATCTCGCTCAGCAGCTTGTTCACCTCATCATTGTACGAGCTCTGCAGTCGCCGCATGGCCTTCCTCCGCGGAAACGCCTCACCCTTGCCTCCACTCCCAAGCCCATCAAGCACGTCCTTGGTCGACATGTTTGCCGTCTGTCGCCAGCTATGGACACTGCTACAACTATGTCTTGTTCAAATACAGTCGGCTGTAGCCATAGAGAGCACGGGACGAGGACAGCGTGTTCAACAGGGGGGAGGGGGGGGAGGGGGGGGGGCGGGAGGAGGGGGTCGGCCACCGCGACGGATCGGACGGCAACCAGGCAGGCAGGGCGGGGGGGGGGGGGGGGGAGGGTGGGATTTCATGTCAGTCATGCGATGTCGGAGAGGTCACACACCGAGTTGCACGACCAGAGGCGAACAGGAGCAACGACGGCGACGACGGCACGACCACTACAAGGACAAAGATACCCACACCCACACCCACACGTACACCCACATAAGCAAACACACATCACTGACTGCCACAATCCCCCCCCACACACACACACACCACACTATACACCATACGCCGTACGCACTACAGCCGTACATTCAGGCCCACACACCCGCACACGAACCGAGTGCGACATACACACACACACACACACACACACACACACACACACACACACACACATACACACACATACATACATACATACATACATACACACACACGGCGGGGAAGGAAGTACTGGCTCACACACTCGCCCTCGGTACATATCGCACACATCTGGAAAGGGAGTCTATACCGATCAAAGGTCAGACTTGATAGGAGCTGTGGCTCGGTTTCGTAGCAGACTGGAGCAGGCAGAGCAGAGACTGTCTACATCATCGGCGATCAGGGAAAGTTGCCACACACACACACACCTCTCTCTCTCTCTCTCTCCGCCTCCGTCTCGATCTCTGGCTGACGCTACCTCTTCATCTACTCCTGCATCTGCATCTGCCTCTGCCTCTGCCTTCCATCACCTCAAGACACCAGAATAGACATCGAGTGATTATGGCATCGCACGGAGAAGAGGTCTACGCTGGCTTGCCACTGTGGGCTTGGGTTGCATCGGGGCTGGGTGTTCTGGCTCTGCTGCTCATTTCTGTTTACTGTTTGGGCGCATTCTTCCGCCGACGATCCAAGAAGCGCTCGTTCCAGGCTCTGCTCTCATCATCGGGGCCGGCGACCATGTCAGAGCCAGCCTTCTACCACGCGACAGCGCCCGCGGTTTCCGGCGGCGGCTCAATCAACTCTGGCCCCGGAAGCACCGGTGTCCGGCGCCCGGTCTCGGTCACGCACGATCCTTTCTCTTCGTCCACCGAGGTCAGCGTCGATCCGTTCGGTCGCTCACAAGGCAATCGCGCCAGCGAGCGCAAGCGTGTCATCCAGGCCTCAGCTGCCGCAGGCTTCACCCCTCCGCGATCGGCTGTCTCCCATCGCAACGCCCTTGTCACTCCTGATGTCGTCTACCAGCGGACCGCCGCTGACGTGTAGCCAACTCTTCTGATCAGCGCCATGTGTGAGAGGCGGTGTGACAGGCAACGCCTGCCACTCCACTCGCCCCGCCATGGCGGACCAGTTTGAGCCGCTCCTGGCGACATATGCGCAAGCAGACGAGACCATTGAAGATGGACAAGACTCTGCCGCTGCTCATTCCAAGCTGAGCACCTTCTCGGGTGTCTTCGTCCCTTGTGTCCTCTCCATTTTCGGCGTACGTGTCGCTCCCTGTCATGTCAGAGCGCATGCCACTCCGTTCAAAAGGGGGGTTTTCAGGGGGAGCCTCTCTTCTTTTTCCAGTCGTCGCATCCTCCACACTCACCTCGATCACGCTCGCAGGTCATTCTCTTTGAACGCTTGCCATGGTGCACTGGACAGGCCGGGCTGTTTGCCATGTTTGGCGTCATTATCTTTGCTTTTCTTGTTGTCACGCTGACGACGCTCTCCATGTCCGCCATCGCCTCCAACGGGCAGATCGAGGGCGGCGGAGCGTACTTTATGATCTCGCGGGCGCTTGGTCCCGAGTTTGGCGGCTCCATCGGGGTCATCTTCTATCTGGCCAACGTTGTCGGCTGCGCGTTGTACCTGGTCGGATTTTCCGAGGCGTTCATGGCCGGCTTCGAACAGTGGATCCCAACCTCCAAGTGGTACGGCATCCTGTACTCGTCCGCCATGCTCCTCCTGGTCACCATTGTTTGCCTGGTCGGCGCGTCAGCGTACGCCAAGACCTCGCTCGTCATCTTTGCCGTGCTGATGGTCTCGATTGCTTCAGCCATGGGCTCGGTCCTCTTTGCGCCCAAGAACGTGGGCATCGGGTTCACCTCGTGGTCGAGCGAGACGCTCTCGCACAACTTGTATCCCAAGCTCAAGCGGCTGCCGGTCGGCGTCGAGCCGCAGACCATCCAGACGGTCTTTGGCATTTTCTTCCCTGCCTCGACCGGCATCATGGCCGGCGCCAACCTGTCCGGCGATCTGCGTACGCCTTCGTCGTCGATTCCGCGCGGCACGCTGCTTGCGCTCGGCATCACACTTGTCATCTATCTCATCCTCACCTTTGCTCTCGCGTACACTGTGCAGTCGGAGGCACTGCTCAACAACTACTTTATTCTGCAGAACGTGTGCTTTGCATGGTGGATCGTGACGATCGGTATCGTGTGCTCGACTGTCTCGTCGGCGCTCGGGAACCTCATCGGCTCGTCGCGTGTCCTGCAGGCACTCGCCAAGGACAAGCTCATTCCATTCCTCAATGTATTTGGCCGCGGCTACGGTAAGACCGACGAGCCGCGGCTAGGCGTAGTGCTCTCCTGGGCTATCGTCCAGATCCTGCTCATTCTTGGCAACCTCAACCTGCTCGCCACCGTCACCACCATGTTCTTCCTCACCTCGTACTGCGTCGTCAACTTTGCCTGCTTCTCGCTCAAGATCTCCGGCACGCCCAACTGGCGGCCAACCTTTCGCTACTCCAACCAGTGGACCTCGCTCGCAGGCGCCATCCTCTGCTTCTTCACCATGTTCTATGTGGGATGGATCACCGCCACCGTCTCGTTTGTCTGCCTTGTTGTCTTCTTTGTCTACATCCATCTGCAGTCGCCGCGCACCTCGTGGGGCGACCTCTCGCAGGCCATTTACTTTCATCAGGTCCGAAAGTACATGCTGCGCCTCGATGTGCGGAAGGACCACGTCAAGTACTGGCGTCCGCAGATCCTGCTGCTCGTTGGATCGGCGCGCGCCAACGTCTCGCTCATCGACACCGCCAACAACCTCAAAAAGGGCGGCATGTTTCTCATCGGCTCGGTCCTCGTCGGCGACCTGTACTCGCAGGGCGACCGGTTCAAGCGCGACGAGGCTGCGTGGAACGCGTTCATCAAGGACACCCGCCTCAAGGCATTTTCCGAGCTTGTCATCGCCCCGTCCATCTCGGCTGGCGCCCAAAACCTGATCGAGATGGCCGGTCTCGGTGCCATGAAGCCCAACACCGTCATTGTCGGCTTTCCCGAGTACTCGAGCTATGCCCCGGGAGCGCTGACAGCGTTGCGCCCGCGACCGACGCCGCCGGCGCCCATCCTGGGCACGTCGAGCTCGAGCCACTTTATGCCGGCTCGGGCAAGCATCAACAACGGCGGCGATTCGACCGACGAGGTCGACGAGGCCGGCGGTGGCCTCGGCGAGCGCACTGTCTCGCAATACCGCGTCAAGTACGTCAACGCAGTAGAAGACAACTTTGTCGACGACACGAGCTCGAGCCGGATCGAGCCGCGCGAGTGGGTTACCATCCTCAACTCGGCGTCGTTCATGGGCAAAAACATCATGGTCGCGCGCAACTTTGACGCGCTCGACAAGGACCTCATCGCCTCCAAAGCCCGCGCCAGCTCAGGCATGCCGTTCCGCCGCAAGAAGGTCATGACCATCGATGTGTGGCCAGTCTCGGTAACAGGCATGGAGGGCGACTTTGTCCACACCCTCACGCTCATGCTTCTCTACGCCCACATGCTCAACAAGACCGACATCTGGACCAAGTTTACCACCATTCGCGTCCTAACCTTTGTCGCTTCCGCCGTAGACATCGAGCCCGAGACCGCGCGCGTCCGGGCCATCCTGCACCAGGCCCGCATCAAGGCCTCCATCAACGTTGTCGTCGCCTCCATCCACGGTCAGGGCAGCGCTCGCTTTGCCGCCCTCAACGCCATGTTCCGCCAGCACTCGGCCCAAGCCTGCATGGTCTTTACCACTCTCCCACTCCCTCCGGCATCGCTTCCCGAGCCGAGCCTCTCTCCCCCTCCCGGCCCCATCGAGAACTACATCGCCGACCTCGACACCCTCTCGTCCGGCCTTCCCCCTGTCATCCTTCTCCACGGCCTGGGCTCCATGGTCCTCGTCTGACCACCTGCGACAGCGCTCTCACCCGCCCGAGCCATCTAAAACATTCTTACTCTATCCACCGCGTCCTGCTATCCATCTGATCCGTAATCCTGGCAGCCCTCTCCTTCGTCACAGGCCAGGATGCGCGCTGCGGCGCAACTCGGTCCAGCAAACCCGAGAGACATCCCTCACTTCGACCGCCACCACACCGGCACCGCCACCCACCACCACCAACGACGGACACACCACCACCACCCACCACCCACCACCCGTAGCCAAGCGAAGCATGTCATGCACGCGGGAAGAGTTCCGAGCCCAGCTCCTTGCGGCGTCAGCAGAGATCACCGCGGCGGTAGAGGCTGCCGAGGCGGTCGGTCCCTCACCGAGTGCCGTCTTCCATGACCTGTGCTATGACTATCCTCAGCTGCGGGATGATGATCTGAAGGCAGCAAGTGCTTATCTTCGGAACATGGCTTCCATGAACGATCTGATTGCTGCTCCTTGGGCTCCTTCGGATGCACTGCTCCGTGGCATCCTAGCAGCTCTTGCGCCCATGCCTGATCACCCGCACCACGCTGGAGATGTCGATGCTGCCTCCAACGACGGCAGTGGCACGGCAACTGGTGCTAGCGAGGGTGGTGTGGATGATGAGAGTCAGATCCATCTTGTCGATGATGGATCGCAACCAGGTGATGGGCCCACAGCCGTGCCTGAGCCTCCAAAGGCGCTCAAGGTGCTGGCGGCGGAGATGGGCCTGACGCTGCTGACCCTCCCGCTGGCGCACTCGGCACAGATGGAGGCGACTGCAGCTGCAGACGCTATTGATGCCCTGTTTCTGCGACTGGCTCCGGTGGCGGCCGCAGATGCCGGCGAAACTGCAGCTGTTGGTGGCTTTGATCCGGAGGCGACACCTGGCTCCGGAGCCGACGGCGCGCCCGACACTGCTGGCGATGCCAGTGAAGAGCCAGCGGCATTGTCAGACGGATCGGACTCACCGATGCTGCCGCTCGAGTCCGGGTCAAGCTCCGGTCTTGGATGGGGCGCGAACGCTGCGCATAGTCTCCCGCTGGACGACGAAGCGCATCCGGCTGGTGGTGAGTGCGGGGCGGTGGCGGCCAAGCTGGTCCGCTGGGCCGCGCTCCTGCAGTCGAATGCGATCGGAACTGAGATAGAGGCTGGCCGAGTGATCGCGTTGATGGGGCTTGCAATGGACCACCCGCTCAACGGAGCTGATGCCTGCCTGGAGCCGCTGGTCGAGGCGTGTGTGTGGCTAGTCCGCGACCTGGTGCTGGCGGAGCTCGTGGCGTCGCCGCATGTCGTCACACTGGAGGTCAGGTCGGCGCTGGCAAGCCTAGTTGAAAAGCTTCTTGGATCCAGCGGGCGATGCCCAAGCCGGGTCAAGGCTCTGATGAGCGTGATGGCAAGTGTGGCGAGTGCGCCTAGTCGATCAGGGCCGTCTGCAGTGTGTGCGGTGGCCGATGCGGTGCTTCCAGCGGCGGCGACGCTACTGTGCGACATTGCGGCCGAACGTGCGGAAGCGACACAGCTGCCCGAAGTTTGCACGGTGCTGGAGGTTCTGACTGACGATCTGGACGTCGACGAGGTGGCGGCGTATGGGATGCTAGTGGCATGCGAGCAGCTGATGGCCAGCTGCGGGCACGAGGCGTGCGCGAGCGGGCTGCGGCGACTGATGCTGGGCCTTGCTCTGCGGACGCCGGGCTTTCATCAGCGGTTGCTCGCGTCGGCTGCGCTGCCGGACGAGGTCTATGCGCGGCTGGAAGCCGCAGTCCCCCATTATGCGCTGGGTGTGGCCACCGGTCGGGCGCTGCTTGCGCCGGACAAGCACGCTGCGGCTGCGCTCGCAGCCGCACATACCCAGGTCGGCTACATGCGGGTCGGGCAGGTTGTGGATCTCGGCGCAACAGGCGAGGTGCGACGGACGCTGGGCATGCTCGGCAAGGTGCTGCGGTCTCCGGTGGTGGTCAGTGCGCTCACGGCGCCGCATCCGGAACTGGTCGACGGGCTTGTGGTGCCGCTGCAGACACTCATGCGTGAGGTTGCGGGCTGGATTGCCGGCTCGATCCGGGAGCACCAGGCCCACGTCCCGCTCGCAGAGCGGCAGTACGCGTTTACTCTCAATGGATACAGCCTCGACGAGCTGCAGGCCGAGGGCAAAGAGAAGGGCGACGCCATCGCCGAAGCCATGAGCGACAAGCTCGACTCGCTCATTCAGCATGAGATGCTCTGGCTCAACCGCGCGGTCAAGGACGTAGTTCTTGCTCTCGAGCTCCTCTCCTCGGCCACGGCCGCCCCTTCGCCGGCGCCTCCCTCGACCTCCTCATCTCGTGATCCGTTTGCTCTCTTTGACAACCTTGACGAGCCGACGCCCAGCGATGCAGCTCCGACTGCGTTTTCATCAAAGAACGACTGAGCCGAGCAGAGCCACGGCCACCGATGCGGGAGAGTTGCTGCGGGTGGTGTCAGCGCGACGAACACCCGACACAGCGAGGAACGATGACAGGCGCGACTTGGACCGCCATGTCCGTCGTAATCACCATGGCAGTCATGGTTGGATTGGCCGCGGGCTCGCGCCGCAGTAGCAAACAGTGGTTGGTAAACATTGACGGCGGCGAGCTCGTGCTGTGCTCGGTCGACCCCCTGACCGGGTGGCGGCGTACCGGACGATGCACCGCTGAGGCTGACGACAGAGGAGCGCATGTGGTGTGCGCAGAGATGACGGCGGAGTTTCTGGATTTTAGCCGCTCGCGCGGCAACGATCTCGTCACGCCGAGGCGCCGGTCGAGCTTTCCGGGACTCCGGCCGGGCGATCGCTGGTGCCTGTGCCTGGCAAGGTGGATCGAAGCGTGGGAGGCCGGGGTTGAGCCGCTGGTGGTCCGCGAGGCAACGGCGGCAGTGGCGAGCGAGGCGATCGCGGCGCGAGCTGGGCGGCATCGGCCCGAATTGGATGACATACGTGACGAGATATGAGCGGCAGCGGTGCACACGGTTTTAACGGTCTGCGTCGTCGAAGACCAAGTCAAACTCATCCGAGATGGACATGGACGGCTCGAGCTTGTGTTCGGGATGTGGAAGGTCAGCCGAGGCTCCCGAGTACGAGTAGGTACCACCGAGGATGTACATGGAGGTTTTTGCCGAGTCGATGACGAGGTCTGAGGCCGCGGCGCGGCGAACGGGATTGACCGGGGCGTGGGCCGGCTTGTCCATGTTGAGCAGGTGGTCGTCGCCGTGGCCGTACATGGGCACGTTGGGCTCTCCCAAGCGGGACGGCGGGTCAGACTCGACACGGACAGCAGAGGTGGTGATGGCCGGCACGCCTGTCGAGCCAGCTTGGAGGACCTTTGTGGTGACATGCGAGTCCGATGACCACGACGAGGCGTGTGAGCCGAGCGGCGAGGCATGGCCCGACGACGACGAGGCGGCGGTCATGCGGGTCTCTGGGGCAAAGTGAACTTCAGGCGCGGGCGACGAGGACGAGCCGTGCGGGAGGTGCGGCGTGCCATCGCCCGATGTGTAGTAGCCGTACTCGTAGATGTAAGAGTCACCGGCGTCAGAGGATGCTGCAAGGAGAGCGTCGACGGCGTCCGAGTCGTAGATGTACGAGCTGCCTCTGCCCGGAACAGTGAGCGACGAGGCCGAGTGGGAGCGCGACGTCTTGCGGCCGCGGCGAGAGTGGTCACGGCCGGCCGGAACCTTGCCCGTGATGAACGATCCTGTGGAGAAGTCCTCCGACGAGAGCTCACCATTGGCGATGGCGCGGTAGGAGACAAAGGGCAGGGCAATGAGGACGGCCGGGTTCATGACGAGCGAGGCCGTGTAGACTGAGAAGCGGTCGCGGGTGCCTGGGGTAGCCATAAACATGGCGTTGAGGTGGTGGCGGCGGGTCTCTGCGGCCTCGATGAGGTCGATGTCTTCTTTGCGAAGGATTTCGACTTCGGGGGCGAGGCGGGCGCCGCCGAGCAGATTGAGGTGTTGGCCGGCGCGGTGTTCGGTGCCAAAGTCTGCGGGGGTGTAGCGGTTGGACGGGATGTCGGCCGGGAGGAGGCCGAGACGCTTGTATGCTTCCGCGATGGCCTCTGAGCAGAACATGGACTCGAGGGTGTCGTGCTCGTTGCCCATGCCAAAGCCGGCGTACATCATCTCGGCCATGTCGACTTGGTACGGCTTGTCCTCGACCTCATCAAAGAAGGCGCGCAGGATGCGCTTGCGCTTGCGGGTGAAGCGAAAGTGGCGGAGTCTGCGCCAGGCAAAGCGGCCGCCGACATCATAGGTCTCGATTTTCTCCATAAACGGGACCAGCTGAGCGCCGCCCTTGTGACGGGTAGGCAGCCAGCGATGGAGTGTGACCTCGAAGCAGTACGGCTCGGAGCGGAGATTGGGCCTGTAAATCATGTTGACGTGGGTCCAGCGCGAGTTTGTCCCGATCTTGGACACGATGTTGTCCGACGAGAACAGGATGATATCGCCAGTGCGGAGCAGCGGGACGACAGCAGCCAGCGGCAGCTTTGTGGCCAGATACGTGTTGGCGCGCGACTCGCAGCACACGTTGGAACAGCAGAGCCAGCACACGTTGTGGCACACCACGCAAGCTACTGAGCACTGAATGCACTTGAGCGCGTATTCGCAGCAGCAGCAGGTCATCAGCGACTTGTGCCCGTATCTGCCCATCCATATTCGAGTGAGTCAGAAGGTCATCGCCCACACCCACACCCACGCTCTGCCCTCCCTTCCTACCACGTACCTGTCGCCCTTGTTACACCACCCACGGACTCCGCCGTAGGCAGCACACATGGAAGTGCATCCCTCTATCAGATGCGATGCCATATCCGCGTTGTGCTTGCGTGTCTGATCAGTTGCGCTTGTATGTCCGATCAGATGCGCTTGTGTGTCCGATCAGTTGTGCTTGCCTGTCCGATCAGGTGTGCTTGCCTGTCCGATCAGTTGTGCTTCTCTGTCCGATCAGTTGTGCTTCTCTGTCCGATCAGTTGTGCTTGCCTGTCCGATCAGTTGAGCTTCTCTGTCCGATCAGTTGTGCTTGCCTGTCCGATCAGTTGTGCTTGCCTGTCCGATCAGTTGTGCTTCTCTGTCCGATCAGTTGAGCTTGCCTGTCGGATCAGTTGTGCTTGCCTGTCCGATCAGTTGTGCTTGCCTGTCCGATCAGTTGTGCTTCTCTGTCCGATCAGTTGAGCTTGCCTGTCGGATCAGTTGTGCTTGCCTGTCCGATCAGTTGTGCTTCTCTGTCCGATCAGTTGTGCTTGCCTGTCCGATCAGTTGAGCTTGTCTAGCCAGTTCCCGATGACCTCCCTTGCTGCCTCCGTCCCGTCTCTTGTCCCTACCGGCTCGCTCTCTATCTCTGTCGCTGCCTCGCGGGACCAGTCACACAAGCCACTCCAGCACCAACACCACTCCAGACAGCCACACCGAGTGTGTTCCGTTGTGTGTATGTGTGGGTGTGGGTGTATGTGCGTGGGCTGTGTGTGGGAAGGGGCTGTAGTCAAGTGGCTCCCAGTCTCACTGCCAGTGTCCACCATCGCTGCCTCAGCTGCCCGGCGGCGGCCCGTCAGCTACTCCTCGGCTCCGCCTCGGCTGCAGCGGCCAGCCAACACATCTGCGCCAACCGCGCGCATAGCAGCCTGAACACAGCGATCGTGACTTCTCCCAATGTTTATATCCATCAGTGGCGCATGGCAGTGGCTTCATCAGCACCAAGAGCTCGGACGACAAAGCTGAGGTTGTCCGAGCTTGCGTCGTGCGAGATCATGACGGCTGAGTGGTTCGGGAGCTCGTTGCGAAGCATCTTGTTGGCGAGGGCGGTGACGATCCGCCGCTCGAGGAAGCGGCGCAGCGGACGTGCGCCGTAGACCGGAGAGTATGCCTTGGCGATGACAAAGCGTGCTGCTGGCTCGTCGATGTGGAGCACAATGTCGCGGTCGGCAAAGCGCTGAGCGAGCTTGGCCATCTGCAGGCGGAGGATGTGCGAGAGATCGCCGGCGTCGAGCGGCGAGAAGATGACAATGTCGTCGAGCCGGTTAAGGAACTCGGGGCGGAAGTGAGCCTTGACCTTGGCCATGATGGCGTCGCGGACCTCGTTGGGGATCTTGGGCGAGCACGAGCATTCGGCAAGGTCGTCGATGTCGTCGTCGTCGGACTCGACCACCACCTTGCCGCCGCGCAGGTTCTTGCGCGCCTTGGTAGACTTGCCCGACGACGATGAGAGCGCGCGCAGCTCCTCGGCCGGATCGCGAGATGCGTGCCACTGAAGCAGCGCCTCGGCGCCGAGATTCGAGGTGAGGATGATGACCGTGTTGGAAAAGTCGACCGTCCGGCCCTGGCCATCAGTCAGTCGCCCATCATCGAGGACCTGGAGCAAGACGTTGAAGATCGACGGATGCGCCTTCTCCACCTCATCAAAGAGCACCACATTGTACGGCCGCCGGCGGACAGCCTCGGTTAGCACGCCGCCTGACTCGTAGCCGACGTAGCCCGGCGGCGCGCCGATGAGCCGCGCCACCGAGTGCTTCTCCGAGAACTCGGACATGTCGATCCGCACAATGTGCTTGTCATCGTTGAACAGCTCGCCCGCGAGTGCCTTGGCCAGTTCGGTCTTGCCCACGCCGGTCGGACCCAGCATGAGGAACGAGCCCATCGGCGCCGATGGCCGCGAGAGCCCGACACGCGATCGCTGGATGGCGTGCGCCACAGCCTTGACCGCCTGCCGCTGACCCACGACCCGCTCCGCAAGCACCTCGGGCATCCGCGCCAGCTTGTCGTTCTCGTTGGCAGAGAGCTCCTCCGCCGGAATGTCCGTCCAACGTGCGATGACCGACGCAATGTCGTGCGGGCCCACAATCTGCGAGAGCATGCCCTTGGACCCGTCGTCCTCGTCATCGTCGAGCGAGATCGACGACTGCGACGTCGACGCGGCGCCCTCCTCGCCACCCTCCATCACCTTGAGCCGCTGCACAAGGTCTGGCAGGGCGTAGAACTTGAGATCTGCCGCAGTCGCCAGGTCACTGTTGCGCTCCGCAATGGCAATTTTGCGCTCCAGCTCCTGGACCTTGGCCTTGAGCCGCCGGATCTCGTCAATGCGGCCCTTTTCGCGCATGTACGTCTCCATCAGTGGCGCAAGCTCGGTCTCGATCTCCTGCAGCTCGGCCTGCACGCGCTCCAGCCGCTTCTTGGCGTCCTTGCCCTTCTCCGACTTGAGCGCAGTCGCCTCCACCTGCAGCTGCAGCTTCTTGCGGGTGAGGCTGTCGATCGCCGGCGGCTGCGAGTCGAGCGCCACGCGCTTGGCCGCGCATGCCTCGTCGACTAGGTCAATGGCCTTGTCGGGCAGGAACCGGTTAGTGATGTACCGCGACGAGAGCTTGGCCGCCGACACCAGCGCGGCGTCGAGGATCTTGACGCCGTGGTGCGCCTGGTACGACTCGCGGAGGCCGCGGAGAATCGAGATGGTGTCCGGGACCGATGGCTCGTTGACGTACACTGGCTGGAACCGGCGCTCAAAGGCCGAGTCTTTCTCGATGTGCTGTCGGTACTCGTCAAGCGTCGTTGCACCGATGCACCGCAGCTTGCCGCGCGCAAGCAGCGGCTTGAGCAAGTTGGCCGCGTCCATGGCCCCGTCGGTCTTGCCAGCGCCCATCACCGTGTGGATCTCGTCGATGAAGAGAATGATCTCGCCGTCGGCGTCGGTCACCTCCTTCAGCACTGCCTTCAGCCGCTCCTCAAACTCGCCACGGTACTTGGCACCGGCAACAAGCGAGCCCATGTCGAGCGCAATGATGGTGCAGAGGAGTGACTGCGGGACGTCGCCGTTGACGATCCGCTGTGCAAGGCCCTCGGCAATGGCCGTCTTGCCCGTTCCGGGCTCACCAATCAGCACCGGGTTGTTCTTGGTCCGCCGCGCGAGAATCCGCACCACGCGCCGAATCTCCTCGTCGCGGCCGATGACTGGGTCGAGCTTGCCCTCGCGCGCCTGCTCCGTCAGATCAATGCCGTACTTGGACAGCGCGTCCATGGAGCCCTCGGCGTTGGCCGAGTCGGCCCGCGCCGACCCGCGCATCTCGTCCAGCGTGCGCTTGAGATCGTCCACAGACTTGCCAGTCGTTGACGTCCACACCGACGACACCTTTGAGTTAGTCATCAGCCCGTGGAGCAGCGCGTCTCCTGCGAGGAACGAATCGCGACGCTGCTTCATCGCCTCGGACGCCGCCTGCAGCGCCTCGATCGCCAGCCGCGACAGGCCAGGGTTCTCTGGTGCCGGCGACTGTGAGTTGATTGCCTCCACCGCCTCGCGCAGCTTGTGGACCAGCGGCGCGTTGGCGTTACATGGCACGTTCAGCTTCTTGCATGCCTGCGCCGCCACAGAGTCCGGATCCGTAAACATGACATGAGCCATGTGAATTGGCGTCACAGATGGGTTCCCATGCTTGGTGGCGAGTTCGCCGGCCTTGTTGATTGTCTCCTTGACGTAGTTGGTGAACTCGTTAGGGTTCATCGATGCCATGATTGGCTAGTGTGTAGTTAAACGAGCAAAGTAGTGGTTGTTGTGCTTGTTGATGCGCTTGTTTCCTTGCCTTCCTGGCTCTGTCTCTGTCTTTGTCTCTGTCGAGATCGTTGAGTTGGCTGACGGACTGTGTGTGGTAGCTCCACAATTCGCTGCTTTTTATTCTGTCACCCGCGAATCTTCATGAAGCCGCATCAGGATGTTTCAACCTCCTCCCGGTACCACTGCCACCTCTCCCGCCGACCCCACCGAACCACTCCGCCAACCCAATCCAACACCACACCCACAATCTAATACATGTAGTACCATCTCCTTTGTGAGCTGGCACTTCTCAAGGCCGAGCCTATGCGCCATAGCAGGAGTGGATAACTCTCGGGTGCGTGGAACACCGTGACCAGTGCTATTTTTGGGGGGTTACTTTGGGCCACCCCCCACCCGCCCCCCCCCCCCTACCGCCGTCCTCAGTCGGCCGAGTTGGCAAAGAAGTGGACCGACCGAGCCCAGCAAGCGCGTCGAGCACGACGAGCACGACGAGCGCGACAGCGCCTTCACCTCGCTAACGCGACTCTTCCCGTCAATATGGAGGCACCCGTGGTAGGCATGTCGGTTCTGGGCTGTCTTGTCGCCCTCCGTGGGTCAAAGCTCCTGCTGCGGCTGCATGGTCCCGGTGGCCCGCCACCAGTCGCGGTCGACGTCGAGGGCCTCGTAAGACTGGCCGTACTTGCGGCGGATTTTGCCGGCGCACAGCGGCCACAGGGTCATACCTCGCTCAGCCATGGCTCGCTGACTGCAGTCGTCGCCTTTGACGCAGCCATGGTCGTCATCATGCTCTGCAGCGAGTCGGCTGCCGACGCATTGTCTCCCTCACCTGCGGAATCAAGACCCGCATCGTGGCTCACGCCGTCGTTGTCGGCTCTGGCCAGTCTAGCTCTTCACGCCCGCGCCGTCCTGCACTTTCTGGCTCAGAACGTTTCCAAAGCCTCGCTCCGGGAACTGATCGATCTCGAGGCGCTGCGGGCGAAGCAGATGCTCTCGTCGTACACCATCCACGACATGATGCGTCCGCGGCTGGCGCCGACCAGTGGCGCGGCTAGTGAGTCCGGGCCAAGCGATCCCAGGCTGGATGTGGGGATGGAAGATGGGGATGATGACGGCGATTCGATTGCCACGGATTGGGGCACGCTTGTCTCGGCCACCGCTGCATCGTCCGAGGCCTGCGAGTCACCGCGAGTCACCAAGCGCAAGGCTCAACCCGCCCGCCGCCGCGGCAATGCCCGCCAGCGCACCGCTGCCAACGACGTGCGCGATGGGGTGCTTGCGGCGGCGGTGGCCGGCTCAGAGTGTGTCCACCCGCTGCTGCGTCCGCTCGAGCTGCGGCTCCGCGCCCTGATGGGCAACCCACTGGTAGATGCGCCGCTCGACGTCTGGCTCTTTGCGCCGTTTGTCGACGCCGACGTTCACGGCTCCGCGCTTGGCCTCATCCTGTGGGACATGGTCGACAACGAGCTGTTGGTCGAGTGGCGCAGGCCAAACACGCCACGTGCAGCGCTGGTTGGTCCACGTGGACCTGGCCTTCTCTGGGCGGCCATCGAGGACGAGGCCGCCGTCCTCTTGCGCTACTCATCACGCCGGCTCCGCTCGCGGCCTGCTGAGCATCACGCTGCGGCTGCCGGCTCCGACTCGGACCCGCTTCCCATGCGCCACGTGGCAGCCATCTCCGAAGTCATGGCGCTCTCGATCGGCGCTACCGCGCCGCATCATGACCTACCGGGTCTGGCGGTCCTTGTTGCTCTCGTCGAGATCTCCGACTCGCTCATTTACACCCTTGTGGCCTATCTCGATGCTGATGCCGCCATCGTTGCTGACGACGCCCCTACTCCGTCGCAGTCACCGCCCACGACGCAGCAGCAGCAACTGCACCCCGAGCACGACAGCACGAGTCAAAGCCGCCACCCGCCGCTCGACATCGCAGCTGCTGCCCCGATCGACTCGTCGCCAGGCACCTCCGCTACGCACTTAGCAGCGTCCTGCACACCATCGCCGACACATTTATGCTCCGTGGCCTGCACGCTCCGACCAAGACCACGCCGCGGACCCCGTCGTCACGCAACGTGTTGTTCGCGTGATGCTCGTGAAGTACCCCCCACTAACACTGCGATATCCGGGCCAACGTCATTGCATCTGGCTCTTGCCATTGCTGGCCTTTGCGCTGGCACAGCTTCAATCTACATCCGATGGTCGGGTAGATGATAACAAGGCACAGGACGCCTTGTCGTTGCACGCCGTCTTGGAAGCCCTGCGCGCTGACCTCGATGTCGCAGTGGAAGCTTCGTTCTTTGTTCTTTTAGCCTTCACAAAACCACGCCACGTTTTAGCCCGCGCAGATTACCCTACGTGGAAGGCATCCTTCAACTCAGGTCATTAACATGGGAGGGAGTGTCGTTGTGACCGGCGACATGCTTCGAGCCTCGCGTAACAAGCTTCGCCCTGCTCCACCGCCGCCACCGCCGCCGCCGCCATCAAAGTGGGAGATGTTTCGGAACGCGCTTGCCGTCATCGAGTCGGACGACGAGAGCAACGACGGGACCGAGCTCAAGTACGTGTGGGACAAGGCGTGTTCTCGCTGGCTTCGAGCGCCGGTGACGACTGAGACGATGCTCCCTCCGAAGATCACCTCTGATGGGCTCATCAAGTCAAGGATGCTGCTGAAGCCGCCACCACCACCAACAACAACACGGGCTACGTCAAGCGCCGCCTATGTCGGGTTGTTCAAGCACCTGGGCGAGCGGGGCGATGAGCAGCGCAAGCGCCATCAAGCTGCTGCTTCGTCTGCAGCTGCCTCTGGCAACCAGGCTGGTGGATGGGAGTGGGACGACAGTGAAGATATCTTTGCGACGGCACCGGCGCCGCCGCCGCCGGCACCGTCATGCCCCCCGCAGTCGCTCAACGCCGACGACTTGTTTGCAATGCAGCCACCGTCGTCGTCGTTGTTCTCGTCGCCAACGGCCACCGGCCTTGGAGACCTGGTCAATCTGACGACTTGTACCTCGTGCTACGCACTGGCCGAGGGGCTGATGGAGTCGTCGTGCGAGTGCAAGCGGGTGTTCTGCCGCGACTGCGCGGCCGAGGCCGCAAAGCGTCCGTGTGTGTTTTGCGAGGAAGAGTTACGGCCTGAAGCCAACGCGTCTGCGGCTCGGATTGTGTCCTCGCTGCAGCCGATGCTCCCGCGGTGCCCAACGTGCGCGGCTCTTGTGCATGGCATGATGCTCCCGTCGCACATCTCGATCTGCACCCAGCACGAGCCGTGCCCACAGGGATGCGGTGAGGCGGTGCGAGCGCTCGATATCGAACACCACGTCGCCCACGACTGCCCGGCCGTCACCATGACATGTCCCTATGGCTGCGAGTACCCACGCGGCGAGCAGGGACGGCACGCGTCGGCAGCAGCGCCAGTCCATCTCGACCGCCTCCACTCGCACATTGAGACGCTCGAAGCGCGGCTGCGGTCGATCGAGGCCAGGCCGGTACCGGTGCGGTATCCAAAGGACGCGACCGCTTGTGCCGGACCTTGCAAGGAGATTTGCGACGCAATGCCGCTGATGCTGCTCGCTGCGCTGGCGACGGCGGTGATCGCGTGCTGGATTCCGAGCGGCTTCCTCAACAAGGTCTTCATCACCATGCTGGCGCTCGGCGCCGTGGTGGTTTCCAACGCCGGACCTTGGGCCGCCCGCATTCCGATGAGGCATGTCAAGCTACTTGTGGCAGGTTTGCTGGTTGTGGTGTGGTCCAGCTCGTACGCAGTGTTCATCGGCATCGTGGGTTTTGCCGCCATTGAGCGGATGAAGAGTCGGTGCCGTCGGCGCGTGGTTGTGTAGTTCAAGAAGACGTGAGCGCAATACACTAGTTCTTTTACCATCTGCCAGCAGGGCTTGCGGGACCCGGGACATAGTAGGCCGAGGCGAGGGCGGGCGCGCCTGCGCGCGACGATGGGCGCTGGGCGGCGCGACGCTGCGCGGGAGTGGGCTCGTACTGCTTGCCGTTGATGATGTTGTACGTCGGCATGACGTTGATGATGCGCTTGCCGGGGCGGTCGGGCAAGTGGGTCGGCGAGCGGCCCGCCGGACGTGCATAGTCTGGGACCGGGACAGACTGCAGCGCCGAGGCGCGGCCGTGGGCGACCTCGCGGCCGGTGACAATGTCAAAGCGGCGGTCAGCAGCCTCCAGCTCGATGCGGCGCTTGGCGGTCCGCAGGCCCTCGGTGACGTCGACGGGCTTCTCGTGGCCACCTCGGATCGACGGCGCCAGCGAGTCATGGTTGGGCGGGAGCTTGGCACCCGAAATGATGTCGTATGAGTAGTGGGTGTGGTTCGTTGTGGTCCTGTTCTTGCCCACGAGCGCAGCGTTGATGCCGACAAACGACGGCGAGCTCGAGCCATCGCGCCGGATGTCCGGACGGACGGCGCCGAGCTGAGCCCCTTTTTGCTCGTCATCCGAGAGGTTGGAGAGGATGTTGTAGCGGCGAGCCATGGCCCGAGAGCGGGCCTCCATGGCGTACCGCCGCTCCTGCTCCATCCTCCGCGCGGCAAGCTCCTGCGACGGCGCGCGGTACCGTTGGGTCAGCGGATTGTACGACGACTGCTTTTCCTGCATCTTGGCATACGTCACAACCTCGACCGGCCCCGTGGCAAACGGCGCCGTCTTCTTCTGCTCCTCGTACGCCCGCAACTCGGCGACCCAGGCCTGCTCCTCGGGCACGATCTCCTCCTCTTCAGGCACTGCCTCTTGCGGCTGCAACTCAAGCCCTTGCCGCCCATCACTACCGCCACCTCCAACCAGAGATGCGCCACCCACCGCAGATCCGCCCTCTGTCACAGCCTCTGTCTGCCACTGGCTGCCCGCCGCAGCAGCCCCAGCTCCAGCTCCAGCTCCAAAAGCCCCAGCGGGAGGCCCAGCAGTGCGCCTAGCCCACGAGGCCGAGGCCGAGGCCGACGATGAGGTCGGCGGTAGCGATGCGTGAGCAGGAGGCGGGGCAGAGAGTGCCGGTGAGGAGGAGCGGACGACGGAGCGGGCGAAGGAGTTGTTCGCTCCGGCGGGGACAGGCGAGGAGTGACCGGACGTCCAACTGGCTTGAGGCGGGGGTTCGAAGGGCCTCCGCCACGGGTCATGGAGTGGTAGCTACGACGAGGCCCCATACTCCTTCCATGCCACCCTTGCCGCATTCCACTCGTTCCCTGCTGTCCGTACATGCCACTGTTGGGTAGTGGCGTGTCGGCGGGCAAAGCGGGTTGTCGCCTGGCACTCTGGCAAACGGCGCAAGTCGGCTGCCGGGCCGAATGAGGAAGGGACTGTCAATGAGGCCATGGGTCGCCAGCCAGTTGCCAGCCAACCGGTATCTGGTTGGAGATCAGCAGAGAGCAGGGGGGGATCTGATATTGATTGATGTTACAACAGCGAGTTTACGGCTGGCTGTCCTTGGCTACGGCCCGCGCCTGGGAAAGGCAGGGACAAGCGGAGCGGACTCGGACGGAGTGGTAGGGGAGGCCGAGACCGTGGTTGCAGCGGAGGGTGGGGATCGGTGGCGGAGAATGAGAGACATGATGAGCGCGCCGGCGACAAGGCCGGTGAAGCCGCCAAGGAAGCCGCCAATGAGGCCACCCTGGGTTTGGGCAGCGAGGCCGGTGGCAGGCGCAGGTGCGGGCGACGGCGGCGACGGCGGGTTGCGGCAGAACTTGGGGTACTCGTCAAACGAGACGGCCGAGCTGTTGAGGAGTGCCATAAAGTCATTGATGCGGCAGGCGCCCGGCAGAGGGCCGTCGCCGCGCTGGGCGCAGGCGACATCGAGAATGGCGCCGTTGTAAATCGGGAGGACAACAAGTTGATGAGCCGGGTCGGCATAGGTCAGAAAGTGCAGGTTTGAGGCGTACGGTGGCCAGACGCCATCAAAGCCGCCAAGACCGGCGCGGAGGCCAGCCAGCATGTACGCTATCGTCGAGTCGTGGGCCGAGAGGTAGGTAAAGACCGGGGTGGTGTCGAGATCAGCCGCCTGGGCCCCGATCATCTCGGCCAGCTCAAAGAACAAGGTACCCATGGCGAGCTTGACTGCGTCGGGCGCGTTGATCTGGAAGGCCCAACGGGCGGAAGCAATGCGGACAATGTCGTCAAAGAGCGCCACACTGACCGCCGGCGGAATGGTCTTGTTGTGGCAGACTTTGCACTGCAGGTTGTCCATGAGGTACTGCCAGTTGTAGCCCGGATCGGTGAACGGTAGCGAGGTGTTGAGCTCATTGAACACGGCATCGAGCGTCTTGACCGCGGCGGCAATGGTCGGCTCGGCCATGAAGCTCGAGGCCGGTGTCGCGGTCAGTGCGCCGCGGTTGACAGAGCCGAAACGTGAGCACTGTGGGCCGGGCATGAGGTTGTCGTGGCCCGACGCGATGGTGTGGAGCGAGGAAATGCCCAGGTCACCAGCGGGCGAGTGCGCCTGCAGACCGTCCACAAAGGCCAAGCCGGACATCAGCGTGCGAGCGACGTCTGTGGAGCGGGCATAGGCCACAAGGCCGGAGCGGTTGCGTGCGGCGGCGATCTCGGCAGCCAGCGAGTTGGGCACCGCAGGGTCCATCCACGCCGCACCGATAGCGGCACCTAGGCTTCGCAGCTGCTCTGCACCGCGCACTGTGAGCCATGATGTGGTACAATCCCCGGCGAGAGCCTGGCGGCCCGGGATGAACGAGACGGCAGCAGTCGGGGTGGCCACCGGCGGCGAGTCGGCGAGCACCCGGACGAGCGGGCAGGACCACGAGACGTTGAACGGCGGCGAGGTGAAGAGTGGGACACCAGGCGTCCGATCGCCATGCCGAGTCAGAGTCACCAGCCGAACAAGCCGCATGCCACTCGCCACGTCAGGTAGCCCAGGTGGATGAGCCAGCTTGTCGGCCTCGCAAGCGGCGCGGTCGTAGCCAGCGGCATCGATACCAGCACCAGCCAGCACCAGCACAAGTACCACAAGTGCCGCAACGAGGTGTCGTACAGGTGGCGTCATGGGTGGAGACGAGTGGGTTGCTGGTCCAAGCCTATGCGCCAAGTATAGAGAGCGCGCGAGTGTATGTGAGAGAGAGAGCAACAAGGGCATCGTATGCGGGAAGGGCACCCCGCGGGAGCGAGTGGCACATGTCGCGTGACATGCGATGTTAGACGACCGGCTGTGGTTGGCATAGCTGTGTGGGAACAAGTGAGACAAGAAAAAATTGCGGCTTAGTCCCGCCACCACAGCCCGGGTCGGAGTATGGGTGGGGTAGAGGGGAGGGGGGAAGAGGGCGGGGTGGGGTGGGTTGGTAGTGTAGGTTCTGGTTGTGGTCACTCGGTCTTGTTCAACATGGTCTTGGGAGAGAGAGGCGAGGGAAAGGAGCGGAGCGCCGCGTTCCCCGTTCAGTACACTTGCAGCAAAGCCGCCCGCCCGCAATCGCCCGCCATCCAACGGCCGGACAACCCCGACGGGGAAGACGACGACGCCGTCCTTCACCACCATCGTCCAGCTAGAGGATAGCCCTTGTAGGTAGTATATCCAACATTGTGAGGATTGAGCTAAGACGCGCCCGTTTCAAGGTTGTGTGCGACGAGGTAGGTGCGGGGAAAGGCTGACCAAAGAGCAGGAGCCACAACACAACCACGTGTGCAATGAAGGGACTCTTCCCAAAAAAACTTGCTCACGCGCGCAAAGGGCTTTTCGCCAGTACCCTTCGTTCTCTGCCACTCCCCCTTTCCCCTCGCCTCTTGGGGGCTACTGCAGGGCAGACAGGCATTCTCGTCTCGATTCACCCAACAAGTCTATATACCCTACGTCGGTAGCAACCATAGACCATGGTGTGCACTCGGACGACAGACATGGTGCTGGTCACGGCTGTGGCCCTTGCCGTCGTCACGTGCCTGCTGACGGATCATGGTAGGTTTCGTTCAAAGTGGCGTCAACCGAGTACACGTGGAGGGGGTGAGGGGGGGGGGGGGGGGGGGGAAGGGGGGGGCATGCACACACACATGCACACACACACACACACACACACACACACACACACATACATACACATACGTACATACACTCATACATACACTCACTCTCTCGCTCTCGCTCTCGCTCTCAAACTCGCGCTCCTTTTCGCGCTCTCTCCCGTTCTCCGCTCTCTCATTTTCTTTTGATTTGGTCTGAAATGTATGTGGCCGATCAGCTTTGGCCTCCGAGTCGCAGCTACCAAGAGTGGTGGCAAGGGCAGGGCCGGCGCCTCCACCGCCACCTTCGCCTCCTCCTCCGCCGCCACCCTCGCCTCCTCCGCCTCCATCTCCTCCTCCTCCGCCATCTCCGCCGCCGCCACCTCCATCGCCGCCACCTCCTCCCTCACCTCCTCCTCCTCCTCCTTCACCTCCTCCTCCGCCTCCATCTCCTCCTCCGCCGCCATCTCCGCCGCCGCCACCTCCATCGCCGCCACCTCCTCCATCTCCTCCTCCTCCTCCCCCTTCACCTCCTCCTCCTCCTCCATCACCTCCGCCACCGCCTCCACCATCGCCGCCGCCACCGCCGCCGCCATCGCCGCCGCCACCGCCGCCGCCATCCCCGCCACCTCCGCCTCCATCCCCGCCGCCGCCGCCATCGCCGCCGCCACCACCTCCCTCGCCGCCACCACCACCATCACCACCTCCGCCGCCGCCATCGCCGCCTCCGCCGCCGCCATCGCCGCCTCCACCACCCTCGCCTCCGCCGCCGCCACCATCGCCTCCTCCTCCTCCATCGCCGCCTCCGCCGCCGCCATCGCCACCACCCCCACCCTCTCCTCCTCCTCCTCCTCCTCCATCACCTCCGCCGCCGCCACCATCGCCACCCCCTCCTCCTCCTCCATCACCGCCTCCGCCGCCACCACCCTCCCCATCTCCTCCTCCGCCACCCTCTCCACCCCCTCCTCCCCCATCGGCACCTCCGCCACCGCCATCACCACCACCTCCGCCATCTCCTCCTCCACCGCCACCACCATCGCCGCCGCCGCCGCCTCCCTCGCCGCCGCCGCCGCCGCCATCACCGCCGCCGCCGCCATCGCCACCGCCGCCGCCGCACTCGCCACCCCCGGCCCCATCGCCACAGCCTCCTCCTCCTCGATGGCCTGAGCCACATCCCTCGCCGCCGCCGACTTCTCCGCCGTGGCTGCAGCCAACAGCGGCGCAGCCGCTTTCTAC